TTTGTCGCCGTGGGTGACACATTACTAGGCTGGGTTTCAATGACTAGTTTGACTTTGTTGTTGTCATTGCCGTCCATGAAAGGCTTCCATGAAGAATACAGCGCCTCTGAAGCCAGTTCGTCACTAAACAACAAACAAATCTCACTGTTAGAAGTCAGCATAGGAAATTTTTAGCTTCTTGACAATTTCAAGAGCTTTGTAATTTCAGCCTTAGATTTAGTTCATCTTAAATTAGTTACTAAATGCAGGAAAAGCGTTAACATCTTCGTCACTGTTTAAATTTTCTGAAATGTTTCTAATCTGTCTCTTTGAATGCATGTAAAGTAAGAACCTACTGTAGACAAATGACAGCCATTTCCTCCTGAAATCCTTGTTTCATCTTCTTAATTCTACGACAAGAAGAAACCATCATAATATAATCTCCCGTCACAGCCGGAGATGTTATGTTTGCGGGTATGAGCTCTAGGCACAGCTTTTGTGTCGTAAATTGTTGTACGGAGTCACTCTACCAACACGGTTCAGGAGGTCGTGAACAAACGAACCTAATGTCATAGTAACCACTTAGTGGTTAGTAAGTAGTAAGCCCTAAGTATATATTTATTCTCGTTACGAGATTTCGGGTTTAGAAATCACTTGTTTACTTGAGAGTTTTTTGATCTTGCAAAGAGAAATATATTTTGATCGCTCAGGGAAAGTAAGTCTTTGGCAGTTGAAGTCTCTCATCGTCGTTGTCATCATCTTTATTATTACCTTAACCGGGAAGTGTTTTAAATCTCAAACAAAAGTGGCTTACCTTTTCCAGCGAACAAAAAACACAGCTACAACAATTCCGACCATTAACAGACAAAACGGTAACACAATGGTCACGACCAGTACTGTACTACGCTTTTCAACTCTTTGCGCGCTTTTCTCACGAGGACTGGTACTATTCGTGACTGATTCCCTCGATACCGGTGCAGTTACTGCTGTTCTTAATGGTTTGGAAGTTCCCTCTGTAGGAGATACTGTTGTAAAATTGTTTGGTTTTTTTGTTTTTTGAGTAGACTGTGGTAAAGTTGATGTTGTACTTTGTAAGCTTGGTCTGGTGTTTGTAGTTCCATTGTTTACATGTGTTGGGGTTGACGAGGTTGGCAGGGCTTCCTTTTCTAAAAGAAAGAAGAATTATTACTTTTGCTGATTACCGTTGATCAATTTTTTTAACAAATACTTGTACTTTTTTGTAAAGGACTTTTTTGCGTGACGTTTTCGAATTCTAGATTTAATCTATCTTAAACTACCTGACCTTTAAAGTAAAAGCTTGCACATATACACACTACGGATATATTTACTTCAGAGAAGCACTTAACTAAATCAAAGTGTTTCTTTATGATCACTATTCTGTCAATTTGATTACTATTCACAAATAGGGCAGAGCCTGTTAACCCTTGGAATTTGATCATATCAACCAGTCTCAATCCTTAGTTTGTAATTGCCTATCCTAAATTTCACTAGTTCTTTTCTTTCGCTTAGATTGTTAGGCCTAAATAAGGAGGGTGTTTAAAAATTCTAGTATATTACAGTGTTGCATGGTATTTTGCCAGTATAAAATATACTTTTGTTGCATTAGGCCAACATAATGTTTGATTTTACCCTTAGTTAAATACAAAAATCACCCTGTACTAGTTTTAGGGTCGTTTTAGGGCACGTTTGGCTAATATTTATATATTTTCTCTCCTTAGATTGAGTAATATCGTTAAATATTATGACGCGTGTTTTTAATTCCAGCGGAAATACAATTATTTACAAGCGCGCGTGTATGAGCTTTTGTTTCGAGGGATCCGGATATGAAGATGTCATAAAACAATGAACACAAACTGAAAAGTCAAAACAAGAATAATGCGCAATTACCGGTTATTGCTAAATGAACAAGCACGTGCTGACTTCCACATCAAATTACTCTCCTTGACAGACTAAAAACTGAGGCAAATCTATAACCATATTTCAGTCTAATACCACTCCGTCAAATATTCATGTAGTTCGAATCCGATATAAATAATGATTAGACAACTCTCTGGAGCTTTTGTTTAAGTGATGTTAAGTGAAAAAAGAAACGATTTTGTGCGATCAAAAGTCAGAACTAATCGATACAAATACAAGTTAGAGTAGCTAAATGTAGATCTAGACGTGAGGTCCCGCATTGTGTTCAACAATCGTTGACGTAAGCTGTGAGTAGTAAGTCAGTTAAACTGATCTCTTTCAGCAGGTCGAAGACACGCACAAACACTGCTTTATAAAATGGCTAAAATATCTTCCGTTCCTACCTGAAATTTTCGTTCTATTCCTAAATGATCCTGACCGCGAGGAAGCGAAAAGAATCGACATCACTAAGAGAGTTGCTGAAATGTTGGTGTAGAGCGACATTGTTGGTATACACTTCGACTAAGGGGGGCAATTTTTAAGCCCTGAAATCGGTGTTTAACATGAAGCTGCCTGTCGCTTAAACACCAACACGAAATAACTTCTAGCGTGCAAGCAAAGACTGATATTAATCCCTCTTCGTTGATTATAAGTCAATATTTTGAGAGGAGTAGCACTTCCCTTCAGAGTTCCTGTCAACGTCACAACATAACATCAGACGGCTCGCATATCAAATTTTAGCTTCATAAGGCCATTAGGTCAACTCTTAAACACATATTTTGGTTTTAAGTTTCGTTGATTTACGACATTCTGCTCTGCCGAGAAAAAATAAACATGTTACAAGATCCCACTGTACTGACGCACCAAGTACCTGCGTGAAAAATATGCTCCCCAAAATAACTGATGTCTGACCGGAAGAAGATCATGTACCTTCTGTTAAGCTTGTATAAGTTTATTTTTATGTAAGTGGCTATGTTTAACATTTAACTATGTTTGGTTTAAAAAACAATCGGCTTTCAAGTATAGACGAATTACGAGTCAGATATGTTTGCCAGGAAACGTCAGGGCTCGTCCTGACCACAGGACTCCGGTAAACTTCTCGATATAATAAATTTTGTTTATAGCTTTTAAAGGCGAGGGTTCTTTTTTCATGATTTAATTAGCTAGCTGTTATTTTTAATGTCGTTTATCTTTGTCAAATCATTTTCTGGGAATCATGAAAATAAGCTCGTGTGCATTTTGTACGCCTGTCGGGCAAGGCTTTGTTGCATAATTATCATATTTAAAAAAAAAATAACTGACAGATTTGTCCTTTGGGTGGGGAGGGGAGGAACACTCTGATTTATAGTAGGCTACCGTTTTCGTGCATTTTAGTACACAACAGGGAGTACCCCTCTCCCCCTCGGAGCAGGGTTTTCAGACCTTATGTCTACGGTACAGCCGGAAGCGTCACAAAATCCTCGCTATACTGCCGGGGGAGGGGCGGGGAGACTGTCTATGAAGCAAGGCTATTCTGTGGTGTTGGAGCTAAAAACGTTGAGCAATACAGCTTATCATAATAAACTGACAAATATTCACTAACGGAACATTAAACCAAGCAATATCTTTTCGAAAAGTGAAAGTCTGGAAATTAAGGTCAGGGGCATCGTTTCTCTGGGAGGGTGTACAATATATTGAGTTGCATGTCAAGAAATTCGACCCCTAGGAGTATATAAACAAATGCGCCCATGTGGCGTCTCCACCGTACAAAGCCCTGAAGGGCAGTAGGGCGCACAGTTTTCCCTAACGAAATCGGACTTGTCAACAGAAGTGAATTTACCGGATTTGTCGTCAGTCTAGACCTAAGTTTTCAAAAAGAAAGGATGTTTATGCAACATTTACGCGGATTTTCGTTTTTGTACCGTGTCAGCCTCTTGGTTCAGGTAGGAGTGCAATGGATTTTGGAAGGTTTAACATGTACACATCGCAAATGTCGGAATCGATCTCACGCAATCTGTGTGAATATAGTGGTTAAATTTTCATCACAGAATTTTGCGAGAGCTCCCATTCTGCAATTCACTCTAATTTTGTTGAGATCGTTGCATTTTCTGGTTCGTATACGGGCGATTTATCACGGAAAGGCCAAATACATGTAACCCGATCGCGATGAATAATGCTTTTCTTTATTATACCAGTCTGTTGAGATGGCACAGAGTCTACAGATACCGCTTTCAACCGATCTCCCCTCTTTTGAGGTCAATGCAGTTTCTAAGACAGAAAATTGATTTAACGCAGACCTCAATTGTACAATGTTCGTTCTTGATTTCCAAAAGACAAGGGATTGCAGAGGA